CCTTAGCATCCCTTTTTTGTCTGAAATGTTTTGCCATAATACTTACTCTGCCTTACTGATGCTGAACGTTTTATACGATGCATTCATATATATATGAGTCATATAATTCGAACAAAGAACCTTAGGTTTACAGTTTAGACGTTTTAGGGATAACAGATAACAAATCAACGTTACAAATGAACGTTAGCCGCCTAACGTTGAGGAAGTCGAGGGATATGGCCTGGGTGATCTATGATGAGAAATGAGTTAGTTTTAGGTATATAACGGTGCTTTTGTTGGGACAAAGTGGGATAGCTGAACTCCTAGAGATGGGTAGACAGGAACCTGCAGTTAATATGCAAAATTTCAATCGACCTAATATTAGTACCTTGCATTACTTGTATCACGTCTTGTTTCTTTAGACCTGTGCACGTGACGAAAATAAGATTAAATATCTTAGACGATTAATAATAAAAAACAAGACCTCGATTGACGTCCTTCCTGAATCCGCATCGTCGTGACATCAATAATGTTCATGTAAATGTTTTTGAAAATTTATCTACTCATGTTATAGATAGAACTTATGCATAGTTTCGCTCAGTGAATATATTTTCGAGTATAATTCACTATAATGTTCATGTAAATGTAAAAAGATGTACATGTACTGATTTAATTTATATTTATGACGTGTAGCAAGCAGGGAGTGCTTTGTCAGTCTCCCAAACCAGAGGCTCTTATGAATAAAGTACATGTTTCAAATATAATTTAAGATGTAATGAACATTTCATACCTGCATCGATAAAGTATCACAATAACAAGTAGAATACCAATCGTACCAAAGGCCAGCGGTATCATTATGGCTGTAATAGTTCGAGTCCGACCGAGCGAGGTCGTCGAGTCAGATTTCTTATAAGCGCCATTGTCCGAGTTACTAGATGATGGCTTTGCGTTTGCTTGCATCGTTGATTGAATCATACCCCCTGATGTGATTGTCGGTGGTGTTGTTGTTCCTGTATTGGGGTTCTGGCGTTGCTCTGTATTGTCGCCTGTGTAGTTTAGAAATGAGGTTGTTTTACTTTATTAGCATAAGGTGAACTAGGCGACGCATGACTCGAAATGGGGGGAGGCACTACATGTACTGAAACAACTTTTAATCAACTTGATAAGAGGCTTACGGCGCAAATTATAAAGTTATTAGTGCTTGTCTGCGTTTGATAATCAGAATGTATTCTAGTCTAGGTTGAATACAAAAAACGCTTTGTAAGTCATGATGTTTGTCCCGACGGAAGTTAGACCACAATGAATCTGATTTTCGCCATCTCAGGATCAAAAGACCTGGTTGGATGGCAGGCTTGATTGCATCCTATTATTTTAGCATAGTATAGTGCCTTATAATGTTTCCAATTCATTAACGTCGTGTTATTTCCTTGGGAATTTTTTTGACCATTTCAAGAGACCTGACTGAAGATAGACTTGCATCGAAGGATACAAATTTTAAGATATCTCGGAGCCGGTTCGAGCGATACCTGCTCAGTTCTAAAATTGATTCTCTTTTTTTGGGTGGTAATTCCACTCCATCCACGCTTCCTACGCTAGTTTCTTCTTTTATTTTTAAGTAGAAGCAATTTTAATCAGAGTTTTATACTTACCACGTTATGTAAACACGTGATATTCTGCTCTGAATCCATAGCTGTTGCTCTCTTTGTTCGACCGAAACAAGAACTTTACTTCAGAAGTCGCTGTGACATTGAACGGTTGTTTTACGCCATAATGTGTTTCATTCACACGATATGTGCCATTAATCTTAGTAGAGAATCGTAAATAGTCCTCATAATTACTGCCATTGAGAGAAAAGTTTGTGAAGAAGACGCTTACGGTGTGATTATCAGGGACCATGATCCTCCACAAGCACAGCTGTCCATCCGGGTATTTATTAGGGAAGCCAGGGGACTGGAAAATACCTCGTTTGTTAACCAATCTGTACCTGCAACCTTGACATGGAATTAAAATTTCACATTACGTGTGACTTGAATAGAAGGGTCTGTCAGGAGACCAGAGAAAGATAAAGATAAAGACTGAGAAAAAAGAAAAGAAAAGACAGAAAGAAATAGAAAAAAAGAAAGGAAAAATAAAGAAAACAGCAAGAAAGAAAGGAAGAAAAAGGAAGTATTACGAAGAGGTTAAATAAACTGATAGATAGAGTTGAAATTTTTACCGGAATAAAAAAGTTATTTCATACGAGAGACAAGATAAGATGCTCACATGCGCAGTTCACTGAGATC